GACGGGCTATAGGCCGTCACTCGCTCTCTCTCTTCTTCTTCCTCCTCCTCCTCTTCTTTCTTCTGCTGGGCTTGAGGGACTTGAGGGACTTGAGGGACTAGGGAAGGCAACCCTAGCCGCCCTAGCCCTCGCTAGCCCGAAAGTCACGTCTTGGCCGCATGGGCTCATTCCTCCAGGACCTTTCCCTCCCACTTTGCTCACCCTAAGACAGAACACCGTCGGTAGATTGCAAAGGTATGGAAGTAGACTGCAAAGCTGTGGAAGGTGAAAAGCGTGACTGCCAAGGTAGTTTTCGCGATGCCGACCTCACCAATGCCAGGCAGAACCTCAACACTGGCACGCAGTTCCTGGGAGCCAACTGTCCAACAGTCTCAAGTATACAACACCCTCGCAAGAGCGAAGACAGCCAACCCACAGTATCGGGGAGGAATCTGCCGGGGCGAACGATCGAAGTGGTGAGAACCAGGAACTCCGCCGCTGACTCAGACAACGTCGCCGTCAAGCATGCCCAAAACGGTCACCCTCAAGACGCAGGCAACGCAGGTATACCAAAGGAGCTTTTTCAGAAGCTCAAGGGGAGGCCTCACCACCTCCCCCTCCCTGGGTCCTCGGGTGCTTGCAGGTTGGACTTGGCGTGGTTGATTGGCTGACTTCGCTCTCCTAGCCTCTAACTGTCTCCATAGCTCTCAAGACCCTCAGCTTTGCGGAAGATCTTCATAAATTTGAAAGCTGAAGTATAGAAGTATATAAGCGCGCGGTATTTGGGCACCCTCTTAAGGCACTCCGAACCTCCTTCCCTGCCCGGCGCCTCGGTGCCGTACGTCCAGAAGCTGCCGCTCCCGGACCATGATGTGCAAACTCCCCCATGGAGCCAGAGAGCCTGGACGGTGTCCCTTTTTCCGGTGCATCTTGTAGCACTTTAGTAGCATTGTAGCATGTGGCAACATCCTTATGTTCATCGTTTCGTGAAGGGCTTCGCCTCGTCCAGGTGGAAACTTTGGGGCAAGCCAAAATCTGACAACATGTACGTGGATCATCTGTTTGTTAAAAGAAGCGTCTCTCCTCGGTGCATGAAAGCATTCTCATGGACCCTAAAACGAAGGGGGAAAGGAGCCCCTCATCTTTGGGCATTTTTGAAAGGGGGCTTGGGGAGAGTTTCAGGGTTAATAGATGTTAACAGCATCTTGAAATCCTCCTCCCGGCCTTCCGCTGGTGGTCGTAGGCCATGGCATGGGAATAGCAGTCGCTGGGGCGGTTGGAGGGGGTGAGCTCACTCCAACCCGGCCACACCTGGCACAAGCTTGGCTTTCGGGGAACGGATGTCACCGCAAAGGGGGTGATATGTGAGAAAAGTCGAAAGAAGAGTGGGAATGTGACAAGATGTGGATGAGGAGGAAGGGCGAGGAGGGTTGAGGGCTCTGGGCTGAAGAGCCTCCCCCGAAACCATGGTCGTCGAAGCCATGTAGCTGCGACTGCTTGCGGCCGTCGTTGAAGTGAAGTTGAAGGCGCCAAGGCAGATCTTCCACCCGCTGAAGGCAGCAGATCCATCCTCAGAGGTCTCATGGGCGCTGATCTAGGCAGATTGCTCTGATTAGCAGTGACTTGGGGTCATCCTGACTCGATCCAAGCGTCGGTTGTCCACTTCAGCACACCCTGAGGCACGACTCCATTCAGATAGGGGTTTCGCCCAGAATAGAGCTGGCCATTGATCAGCAACTGGTCATACCTCGATTCCTCAGCTGGAACAATGTTACCCTGAGTTCCCCCCTATTCGAACCCGAACGAACCCTCTCAACTGCATTTTCTTCTTCATGCTCTTGGAGACCAGGGCTCAGCTCCCTCCCCCTGATGGCGCCAGCAGGGTTTACCCCTCCCCCCCCGCCCCCACCAAACATCCAGAGATCGGAAACACCGAACCCTCCACCCGTATGGCAAAGACTCGGTGAAGAAAGCCTCCACGGAGATTTGTAGCCGGTTTCCAGCATCAACCTGCGTGCCCGGCGCTTTAGGTTCAGAATGAGCGAAGGCGCAGCTCGCCTTCGAAAGATACAGGCCTGAATCACGCAGATGTCGTTGTTGGGGTAGTTGCTTGGGTAATTCGTGCTAGAGATGCAGCCATTGCTCGCAAGAGAACATGACCTCAGCACAAACCGGAGCTGTAGAGTCCATATGGCCCCAAAATGGGACAGCGCTTAATAGTCATCCACCCAGCCCACAACCCGTCTGAACCCTAGCAGCCCTAGCACCCTGGAGATGTTGGAGGCATGTGCGTGATGTCCGGGTCGTCGCAGGATGAGTTCACGCTGGCCCAGGCCGAGGCGAGTCGCGCAGCGTCGTGGGCCAAAAGAAACAGAACCGAAGTCAGATCAGAGGGTCGAGCTGATCATGGACAGGGAGCTGTTCAACCAAAGGAGGCACAAGAGTTATGCTGAAGGCTTTTCGGGCATTTTTCAAGGCAAAGGATCCGGATGCCAACCCGCTTGGCCAGAAAAGAGCCCACAGTTTCTGACAGAGCTTCTCAGAACTTCCCCTGTCTGGTGCTCTCTCAGAATTCTCAGAACCAGACCCGTAGGTGACGCTCCAGCCCACCTCACAGCAAGGAAGCTGCGGGGATGACACGAAAGTCTCAAAAGGAACAATGCACAACTCTCAACGCCAACCCACACGCCAGACCCTCTTTGAATCCCAACTTTGTGCTGTTGCCTCGTTGCCTGCGCTCTGATCACATATGTGTGTGTGCAGAATGCAGTTGTCAGCGCTGGTTGATAAGAAGCTTGAAGTTTAACCTCGAAAACCCCACAGCTCAGCCTACGGCTTCTGGATCAGCCGCCCTGATTCCACAGCTCCCTTGCCCAAGTGCTGTTTCGTAAGGCAATTTCAAGTTAGGCACAAGAGCACCCGAAAAACCCTCCCTGAGGAGATGAGTTGTAATTCAGGCAGCACAAAGAACCATGGACAAAACCCCGAGCGGTAAACGATCCATGCTGAACCCTTGCCCTTTATAGACTTCTACGGCCCCAATCTGACAAAGCTGAGGATGATGCCCCCATGCTGGAATTGACCTCCGGCCTGGGAGGGGAGGTCGGGGGCAGTTTCGGATTCAACCCTTGTCGTGGCCGTGAAGGGTTTGTGACAGGCCTTTAGTGCTTTGTTGCTTGCTCCTTCAATCCTATAACTACTTTAAACTGCCCTATCTTCTTCTCGAATGAAAGCAAGAAGCCAGAAACAGGTTGTGAATACAATCCATTGAATCCGCGCGGCCTTCGTTCTTACGGGAGGTGATGGGCACGTGGATCCAGACAAATATTGCCCAAAGCATGTTGGACACATTCTGTCTGGATCCACTGTGACTAGCGCAGACAGGTTTGGTCTTCAGGAGGCCACTGTGAACGACGTTTTGGCCTTCACTCATTCTTTCTGACGAAAGACCATGGGGTTCGCTATTTTACAGGACAGACAGCAGAAACATCTCTGTCAGACAGAGGAGAGAGGTTCTGTGAAAGACCTCGAAAAGAGACTGAACGCTAGACCCCCCAGATTCAAGTATGTCGAGGCATTTTCCAGCCTAGGCAATGCCCATCAGTCTGTCCCAGGCACCCTAAACTGGCCCAAACCCGCTGTGTAAACCCCATTTTGTGACCGACCTGGTGGTTGAGGTCGTGGATGGCGCAGCCGTCACATTGACGGTGCCCTGAGAGCACGCCATGAAGAATTGAAACCCCCTTAAAGGCCCCCCCCAAGAGGTGACCACTAAAGCTCTCCTAGATCCAAGAGAGTGCAGGAATTCTTCGCTCAGGTGGATGCCCCCTCAAGTCGAGATGCAACTCCCCTGGAACAGCCTAAATTGGACCGGAAAATGGACCGAAGACCTGCAAAGACCTGCAGTGCCTGCACATCAAACATCCAGAGGCCGTCGTAGAACTGTCCGCTCCCCGTCCACCCTCCATGCAACCACAGAGCCTGCCAGGGACATCAGCTGGCTGAGAGAATTATTGCGTTGGCACTACGTCACTAGTAGCCGCTCGCCACCCATTTTGGTCTCGGAGTACTCGGAGTCTCCATCTTCTAAACTCCAGGAGGAATAGTGCCAATCCGATCATGGTGAGACGTAAGCTCTGATAACCCAGTTGCGCCTGCCGGCTGCTGTCGTACACCATGACGTGATAATAGAGCTCCGGGGGCTGATCACCAGGATGCCTTGGGTGATCACCGCAAAGATGGTTCAGGGATGTTCAAGGGCCACTGTCAACCCCCGCCCCTGAGAAGAAGGGAAGCAGATGAAGCCATCGAGAAAAATGAAGCCAGTGTTTATCAGGGCCATGCGAAAAACCCGAACCCCGTTATAAAACCAAATAAGCCCAAACGTAAAAGCGCCATTCCGTTTTACCCCCCCCCCTCCCCCTCCCCCCCAACAATCCTGCCGAGGCGCCGCTCTGACCAGGTTCCAGCCTGACAAGTGAAAGCACTTTAGAAGGGGAAGGATGGACAAATGGGGGGTCGTGTAGACGTCGATGGGGTGCACGCTGGGTGCATGGGTGGTCGTTGCACCAGGATGCTTTAGGGTGCCCGCTTGCTGCCTTGAACATACCTGCCTCAGGGATTCAAGGCCCCCAAATTGGCTGATCCTTATATTCTTGCCTGCACATCGTAGATCCACAAGTCCGAGAATATAGAGAATGCCCCGCCGCGTCCTCCGTGCAGCCAAAGTGCCTGGGGCTCAGGGGGTCCAGGTCCATTTGCGAACTTGTGTTTGTCAGACTGAGCGACCACTTGCTGACTGATGGACTGACATGCACAGGCCCGTTAAACGAACATTTTAGACAGTTTCAACATGTCGCCAAAACGTACGAACATGTACCCACACCCCGTCTAGTCCCTTATGACTCGGACGAACCAGCCGTGTACGCTTTTTGTGTGAGTTTCACCACCCGAAACTCCTCCTACCACCCCACGCTCCAATAGAGATTTGTTCTATTGCAACACTGTCCCAACATGCGCGATTAGGTCATGGCCTGGCTGTCGCTGTCGTAGACAAGGACATGGAGGTGGCGTGGTGCCGGCTTGTGGACAGCCGCCTTCTCGCTCCAGTTTCCAGCCTGGGGAACCGTTCCCTCCACCCTTTATGTGATGGAGTTGGTCCCCACTGCAGGGTCGCCAAAGCCCGTTGAAGCAAAAATCCCTTGGCCACCAGGCCCAGTGCCTGCACATCAAACATCCACAGGTCGTCGAGAAGAAGTCCCTGAGTTGCTGCTGATCAAGTATTGCTCAGTGCGTGCTACTTCGAAGACACGTTTGTGTGCAAGAGGCTTGGGTAAAGCGCGCGGCAGCTTCCACATTGCATGTGCCCATGAGCAGTATAAACTCAGAGATCCGAAAACATCAAAGCGGCGGCAGTCGATCCTCCATGAAGCCAGATGACCTCCGGAGCATTCAAGGAGAAAGCACGAGCACGGGCTTCTTTAGGTGTTGTTAAAGAGAAGGCCACATCTCTCAACGCTGAGCACCGCCGCTGCCGATGAACATGCCCCCTCCCCTGGGCCGGTACACACCGAGCCCTGTAATGTAGTCACCCCCCTTTCAGAAAGCGCGTGGCCTTGTTGCCACTGTCATACCTTGGCTGCTCTCGGCAGCAGACTGCGAGCAAACTTATGGCCTCAAATCCGGAAAGCATAGCATATAGCATCGGGTTGCATCATTTGCATCTGAGTCTTGAATGAAACCTAGAAGCACCATGACATGCCCAGCTCGCGAGGAAGGTCTGATGGAAGGACTGTGCGGATGCCAGTTCCGACCCTGCCAGAGAGGCGCGTTCATGATTCCCTCGCGTAAGCCACACGTGAAGCCCTGCCAGGATTCACGAGTACCGGCGCAGATCAACATCGGAGGCACCTCAACGTCATACTGCCAGAGATCGTCAAGATAGCGGTAACCTGCTGAGGAATCGAGTCCCCCATGCAGCCAAAGGGCCTGGCGGTGCGTCAAGCCTAATCTGTTGGGTTCTGTCCCTCCAGCAAAAACGCCCAGACCCTGAAAGTTGTGTTTTTAAAATTTTTAGCCCTCCATAGCCTGGGAGTCACCGTCGTAGACCATGACATGAAGCACGCGCGCAGAGGGCCCGGAGGGCCCAGAAAGCCCCGAGGCGTTCGACAGATTGGCGCCAGCCGTTTCATTGAGCAGCGTCTGCTCCTGCCAGGAAGCGGCCTGGCAGAAGGTTCGTTCAGAAGACGTTTTTGTTTTGCAGGGCTGTGACGGATGTCGCTCCAGAAGAAAAATACGCGAAGGGCAGCACAAACCTGAAGAGCCCACAGCTTATAAGGCAACCTTCCAGCTTCAACTCAACTGGGATATGTGAATCCAGAACCCTTCAGAACATTTTTCTCAGAACCTATATCACCAAAGGAAGACGCCGAGAGGACTTCTGCAATTTAAAAGTCGCAGCCCAAATCCTTTCGGTATATCAGCGGCTCTTGACTCTTCAGGCTGAGAGGTTGCTCTGCCCTAAATGGCTCCTTTCAAACCTTCACATCCTGGGAAGCCTCTTCAACTGGAGGGAGCTGCGCCTGAATGTCATATCTCCAGAAGTCGCCCAAATCCTCAAGCGGAACTTTGCAGGAACAGCCGGGAGCCCATTCAGGCCTAGAATCGTTTGAGATGCCTAGACTGTTGCAACCCCCTCCCCCCCAAAAAAAGAAAAGAAAAGCTCTCTTTGACTCTGGGAGTCCATCCCGGCTTGGCCCTGGGATCCTCCATGCAGCCACAGCGCCTCGCGGGTTTCGTTTTACGTGCTGCGCTGTCTTGGCTTTTTTGGACTGGAGTTGAGCTCTGTGTTCAGAGACTCTCCTTCTCACATGTTTTCACTCTGCCGCCCGTGACTGCGGCGCTTGCGTTTAGGGTTTCAGGTTTAGGTTTCCTCCGGGCTCCTGGGCCTTTGATTTTGGAGTTTTGCAACATCACTTGGATTCTATACAGGGTTTGCGCTCTGGTTGAAGGGCTTGGTTTCCCTTTTGAGGCGACATCTGCCATCCATCCGCGTTCTTCAAAAGGAGTTTACCATGGTCGGTTCTTGGCGGGCTTGGGGCGCGCATTCACGCTTCTTGGCCAGTGCTTCAACATGTTCCAACTACTCCGTGAGCCCGGGATGAAAGACGGATCGCAGAAACAGCACGTGACACCACATTCCGCTCCCAGAGTCAGAGTCCTCTCAACTAGCGGCTTCGAATGTTGAGGTTGATTTATGGTCTAGGCATGCCACAGGAAGCCTGAGTCTTGTGGTCGTAGGCCATGACCTTCAGTGCAGCTGCTGAAATCCGTGTCAATTAGGCTCAACTTGGGAAGAGGTCGCAACGGTTCAGCCCTGAGCTCAATAACGCCAGACGACATGGTAGCCGCGCGCCGACGGCTGGCTCTCGTTGCTGCCATTTGTGATCAACGCCGGCTGGTCCCACGTCCCTGCCTCCGGATCTAAACTTAATTGGGATGGTTCATGGTTCTGACGCTTGTCAATGCCATGCCTGTTGATGCGCAAATCTGGGCAGTAGGCTTAAGGCGTGTTCGGTGTGTTAAGGCTGCTACAAGTTCTTAGCATGAGCAAACACCGAAGATGAACGCTACAGTAAGGGGCAGGGGCCTGAGCTTAGTTTAATGCATGAACACTGCATGAGCACCCGCATTCACAACTACCACAGCAGTGGGACGCATAGGTCCGACTCTGCGCCGTGGTCTTTGTTTGTTGTTACTCGGAGACCTGAATCGGGAGAGCCGACGATGTGCAATGATTAGCAAAGATCTGCGTCCCGATATTTATATGGCGACACATAAGTTTGCCAACAAGCGGCGGGCGCAACGCTTCGCTTGATATTTCACTATGTGAAAATTCCTTTTCTTACTGAGAAACCCTCCCCCCGCCCGCCACCCAAGTCAAGAGGAAACCTGCAACATCGTAGAGTCCAAACATCCCGGTGTTGGCGGGAGCATGTGCTGAAGGAGGAGCGCCCGAAAAGCATGGGATGGTACAACAGTGTGCGGCATGCATTGTAAATTTAAGCCTCGCCCACCTCCGCCAGCCCACTTGCAAAGCTTTTTGGGTTATCTTGCGGTGGCTTGCCTCTTGGCTTGGGTTGGTTCTGCTTGGTTCTTCCTTAGCGCCTTTGCTTGCAAAGTCATGTAGCCACACAACTGAAGTTCAATTCAGAGCACCGCAAGCATCACATAGTACCGGAGCCCTCACGGGCCTGCACGTCGTACTTCCACAGCCTGTCGAGGGAACCGCTCAGATCGAGGCCTCCATGCAGCCACAGTACCTCTGTCGAGGAGTCGGGTTGGGTGATGTCGTTCAGGTTGAAACTCGCACTTCTATACAGTAGCACTTAGTCAAGCCAGGAAACTGCGAAAGTATCCTTCTTGACATGATTTCGGCGGACGTGCATGCTGCATGACCCTCCAACCATTAAACTCCAAGATGAAAATGCCTGGCTGTCGTTGTCGTAGGCGGCGACGTGTACTCCCATCGCACCAGGCCAGCTTGAGTCGTTCCCGAGAGTGTCATTGTTGACATTCTGCTTCTGCTCGCTCCATATTCCCGGGGTGACCTGCTTGGCGCTGATTTTAGGACGTGGGCTCCGTGGCCTCCCATCTCTAACTTACGAGTACCATTCCAGCATGCCTTTCTCAGAGAGGGAAGAGCTAGCAAACACGATTGAGGCAAATGTGAAGGAAGAGGAAAGCCAATTTCCCTCCACGATGCGATAGGCTTGTCGGTACCGATATACATGTAGGGGCATTGCAAGTGAGAAAGCGTATCAACACAAATCCGACGAACATGCGATTTCGAGGCAGGCTGCAACGTGATTCCGTTCTCAGCCAATGTGCACTTCCAGGACAGCGTAATTAGAGGGGTTCAGAACGCATGTAAACATGGATGGCAGAAGATGGCGGACAGAAGAGACAGAAGAGGTCCAGTGCCTGATCTGCATGACCAATTGCCCAAGCTCAAGCCCTCAAGAGGAGATCTTCGTGCAAAGCACGTCGCACATAATTAGTCGCACTAGCGTATTCAGGAAAGAAGCATGGCCATTATGTCGCCTCCTCCAAAAACAAATCCCATTAGCATCGGCACAATCAATACGAAAAGCACTCATTCAAAACCTTTCTGCCCGCACAGAGACCCCAAACAGTGAGAGACCGCGAGCCCAGAAGTCCCAAAGCAAGCCCAGACGCTGTCTCGTATTTCACAGGCGCAGGCGCAGTTTCGCATATTTCGAAGAAGCGCGGACGACAAAAAAAGGTGAGGAAGCGGTGATGCAATGTGATGCAGCATCATGCAATGACACCAAGCGTATAAGGCCAAGGATGGCCCCTTGGCCTCTTGAAGGCAGATCTTCCATCCGTACTTGCTGTTGGAGCCATCCTCTACAAGCGGGATGACTTGCACTTCAGGTTTTGGGTGGTATCGGCACCTCCTGTCTACAACAAGGCGGATTCAGGACTTCTGGAACAGAACGGCAAATCAATGCCAAGTTCACTATCTGCGGCTGCGTGTCTGAGGACCATGAAATAGTCCCGTGCACCACGGCTCCCGACAGACCAGGCGGCAAGAGGCCGGAGTAGTCCACACTATTGACTCGCAGAACATCGAAGAGGCGCTCAGTTTCAAACCGCACCACGGTGAGGCGGTGAGGTTTGCCACTGAACACCTGGTGGCTCGATAACGAGGCATGGAAGTGTCTGGACAAGCGCAACGCACAAGGCTCGCCTGAATTGTGCACGCATCATTGTTTGGGTAGTTGTAGGGGTAGTTGGTGCTTGCTATGCAGCCATCGCCAGCGAGCACGCATGACCTCAGGCAACACATGCCTTCCACGACATCTCATCTGCTAGACCCATGAAACTGGGTCATGTGTGCCGGCAGGGATGTGATGAGCTCACCAGGGCTTTTGACAGACAACTCTCCAGATCCTTCCCCTACTGTCGCTCACCCTGATCAACATGTCTGAAGCCGAATGCCACGCAGGGTTTTCACGCTTTTTTCCCCTCAGCTCCCCCAAGACCACAGTACAGATCTATCTGCACACCCAACTGCCCAGGGTCCTTTGACTGAGGACCTGGCCCACTGGCGACGCTCCACGCCTGCGGGCATGCTTACAAGCCCTGATTCCTGGCCCAGAGATCTTTCCGTGTCAGTTCGGAGAGTCCGGCGGATATACAGGACAAGGGGCAAGGAAGTGAAGACATGCATTTCTTGTCAGCTCTAGGTCAGGATCTCCATTTGAGGTATTTGTGGGGATCCTGAGGCATCACCAGGTCACCAGGCGGTTTCTTGGAGCCCCTTGGGCCTCAGAGGCTTAGAGGCTCTGAACCTGGAAGTGCCCGCAATTCCAGAGACCTCCTACAATGCTACAAGATGTATTTAGGGGGTTTAGGGTTTAGGGGTTGTAGGGTTTATAGGGTTATAGGGTTTAGGCAATCGCTGAATTTCTTGTAGCAACGCTTCACGCCAACTCCCGGCCTGGCCGGGTAGCGTTGTGCCGTTCACTTCCTGCACTCGCAAGACAGACACCCCCCCACAAATGGGAGCCGCAAGTGAGAGCCGCAGAGCCCTTCTTTAGGGTTTAGGGTTTAGGGTTTAGGGTTTAGGGTTTAAAAACTGCGCGCAAAACACACAAGTCTTAAGCCCTGCAAGGCCTGTTCTGTCGTGCTTGTGACGCTCCCCAGCCCCTGCCAAAGCGAGGTTTCGGAGAGGCATGCAAAATAAGAGTGTAATACAAGTCAATGTATACAATATTTCATATTATGGATTCTTTTGAATATACTGTTCGTATATTCTTAGATCATAGTTTTTCATACTGAGGGCCTGGGGTGTTCAGGCTCTGTAGCAGTACACGGGTTCCAGGGGCTTCCCCCAGGCTGACATAGACTGACTAGCTAAGCTGGTGCGTTTTGCAAATTGCTGCACCAGTTGCCAGCTCAACTGTTCAAGGGCACTTGACGAACTCTCCAGGGGCACGACTTGATCTTGCTCTCGGGCAAACCCTGCAACGCCCAGACGGAAACTTCTCGGGGCAACTCCGCTTGAGTTACCAGGCGCTCTTTGGATTCAACTTGGTGCCCACGGCCATGAACCAGTTGGCACGTTGCATTCCTAGCCTTTTGACAGGCCGTGGGCACTATAGCATCCCTTACCTCTCTCATGTTTGCTCTTCACTCTCAAGCGCTTTCACAATCTCACTCAGTTGATGCAACCACAAAACCACTCCCACAGAACCACTCTTTGAGTTTGGGTATACCTTGCTAAGTGTGCTAAGCATTTGGGGGGGTTTCGGGTATTTGCAGAGGCGAAAGCGCGTGCGTGCACTGCGGGGCCGAATGCCTGCGTTCCAAATTTATTTTCACTGGGCAGAGGGTTTCGCGCTGCAGCCTCACCTGAGTCACATGCCCTGAGCCCTCAGAGAGGTGCCTTGTAGTATAAGCTGCTGCCACAGGTGGTGGGAATCTCGTCTCCGCAAGCAGCAGCCTCCATCAACCAGCAGTCTGTACCGCAATCGTACCTGGGCTTGATTGTCTACAAGGTTTACAATTGCAATGTGGGTTTATGCTCAGACTCCCCCCGTCAGCTTTACCTGGCACCTTGGCATCAACCACCCTCTCACCCATACCATCAAAGATCCGGGGTGCTGGATAGCGGTGCATTCGATGCTGGCATCGCAAGCAGCCATGCATGACGCGAGGGTTTCTGGGCCACGCCTGGTTGCACTTGCCTGCCCAGACGCGCGGAAGACAGAGGCATCGGAACTCTAGAAGCTTGCTTGAAACGCCAGTGGCCTAGATAATCTTGCCTTTCTTAGTTTCTCCTGCTTTTGCTTCTGGGTCAAGTACCTCCGACAGACTCTTTACTTGATGTTATGGTTATAGCGGCCGCGCGAACGGAGACAGAGACAGAGAGACAGAGAGAGACAGAGAGAGACAGAGAGAGACAGAGAGAGACAGAGAGACAGAGAGACAGAGAGACAGAGAGACGGAGAGACAGACAGAGAGAGAACAAAAAACAAAATGCTCGGGTTGAGGACTTTGCGGATCGAGGCAGCTGACGGACAGATGCCTCTTGGTCTGAAACCTTTGTGTAGCGTGCTCGCGCTTCTTAGGGTTTGAAAGCTTTATATGACGTGCTCGTGCCTTTAGAAAGTCTTATGAATAAAGTCATTGAATAAAGGCTTTGTTACCGTAGTTGTGATATTGGTGATTACGTGGTTCTTCTGATGATGAATGACTCTTCAACGAACTCAAAGTGTTGAGGGACCCGGTCCTGGTTCAGGCAGTACTTGTATGGCGAACACCTGGCGCCCAACCAGGTACTCACATTGGCTGCTCTTGGAGCTAACTCCATATACGATAGACATGTTTTTTTGGCGCTCTAAGAGAAGTGCCGCTCCCACGTCGATTCTGAGTCGAGCGCCTTCCTCACCAGAACACTTCCAACCTCACAGCCCTGAGCCGTTAGCGTATAGTGACCTTTTTTTCGACTCACACCAGTGCATCTCCCGCGCACCGGTAAGCATCAGTGTTGATCCCCAAGCAGTTTCCGGAGGCCTGCGACAGACGGCTGGAGATTTCAGAGATAACAAAACGGCAAGTCTCCAAACCGAACAATAATCAGGCTGACATTGCATCCATACCCGGCTCTGCGTCATCACCAGCAACTTCAGCTGCTTGCTACAAGGTGTGAGGGTCTTTCTCTGCAGTTTTCGCGCTTCACACGAACTCCCGACCTGGCCGGGAAGCGTTGTGCTGCTCGTTGGCACCTGCACTTGCAAGTCATCAAAGAGCAGCAGGAGTGCTTTTTTAAACACCAGTTTGGAACTCCTGGCCTGAGTCGTGCTTGTGGCGCTCCCCAGCTCCTGCCAAGTCGAGGCTTCCGCATAACGCGGATAAACATAACAAGACAGGCAGAATCACAGTGATATGTATATGTATATGCATATAAATGTATTCAGAATTTACTGACACAATCACAAATCATAGTAATAGTATATCATGCCTAGGCACTCCCCTAAGCTATTTGCACAACCAGCTGCCAGCTGAACTCTCCAAGGGCACTACTTGATCTTGCTCTCAGGCGTGCTCGGACGTGGCGAGCTTTGTGATGCTTAGTCGGAAACTTCTCGGGGCAACTCCGCTTGAGTTACCAGGCGCTCTTTGGATTCAACTTGGTGCCCCCGGCCATGAACCAGTTGGCACGTTGCATTCCTAGCCTTTTGACAGGCCGTGGGCACTATAGCATCCCTTACCTCTCTCATGTTTGCTCTTCACTCTCAAGCGCTTTCACAATCTCACTCAGTTGATGCAACCACAAAACCATTCCCACAGAACCACTCTTTGAGTTTGGGTATACCTTGCTGAGTGTGCTAAGCATTTGGGGGGGTTTCGGGTATTTGCGGAGGCTAAAGCGCGTGTGCACTGAGGGGCCGAATGCCTGCGTTCCAAATTTATTTTCACTGGGCAGAGGGTTTCGCGCTGCAGCCTCACCTGAGTTACATGCCCTGAGCCCTCAGAGAGGTGCCTTGTAGTATAAGCTGCTGCCACAGGAGGTGGTAATCTCGTCTCCGCAAGCAGCAGCCTCCATCAACAAGCAGTCCGTACCGCAATCGTACCTGGGCTTGATTGTCTACAAGATTTACAATTGCAATGTGGGTTCATGCTCAGACTCCCCCCGTCAGCTTTACCTGGCACCCAAATTCTTTCGCCGGATAACATTTTTGAGACGCTCGACGCTTGTCTCAAGCATCCTAAAAACCGCCGTCAGCTTCCTGTGCGGTGGAGGCGGTTGATTGATGCCTGGAACAGTGCTGACATGCATTGGTTTGTACCTGATTCTCTTATGTGTAACACTGGTTTTTGCGTTAAATGCTTTCTTCGATTTCCTAATTTCTCTGAGTCTTTCAGACGCCCCTGCAGCGGACATCTCCTTGACTCTGGCGATAATTACATTGGCGTTGCTGACAACTTGAAGGATTTGCGAGATGCTGTCTGCCATCTCGTGACAGATGCATGAGCTTGGCCCACCTGGGTGCTGGCATGCAGTGTCACTATTTCTTGGGCAGGTTTCTACCTGCTTCTTGCACAACATTCTCTGTGCAGGTTTGACCTGTTTCACCTTACCGTTAAAGACTACGGTCCGAACAACCTGGCACCTTGACATCAACCCCCCTCTCACCCATACCATCAAAGATCCGGGGTGCTGGATAGCGGTGCATTCGATGCTGGCATCGCAAGCAGCCATGCATGACGCGAGGGTTTCTGGGCCACGCCTGGTTGCACTTGCCTGCCCAGACGCGCGGAAGACAGAGGCATCGGAACTCTAGAAGCTTGCTTGAAACGCCAGTGGCCTAGATAACCTTGCCTTTCTTAGTTTCTCCTGCTTTTGCTTCTGGGTCAAGTACCTCCGACAGACTCTTTACTTGATGTTATGGTTATAGCGGCCGCGCGAACGGAGACAGAGAGACAGAGAGACAGAGAGACAGAGAGACAGAGAGACAGAGAGACGGAGAGACGGAGAGACGGAGAGACCGAGAGACGGAGAGACGGAGAGACGGAGAGACGGAGAGACGGAGAGACGGAGAGACAGAGAGACAGAGAGACAGAGAGACAGAGAGACAGAGAGACAGAGAGACAGAGAGACAGAGAGACAGAGAGACGAGAGAGAGAGAGAGAGACAGAGAGACGGAGAGACGGAGAGACGGAGAGACGGAGAGACGGAGAGACGGAGAGACGGAGAGACGGAGAGACGGAGAGACGGAGAGACGGAGAGACGGAGAGACGGAGAGACGGAGAGACGGAGAGACGGAGAGACGGAGAGACGGAGAGACGGAGAGACGGAGAGACGGAGAGACAGAGAGACAGAGAGACGGAGAGACGGAGAGACGGAGAGACGGAGAGACGGAGAGACGGAGAGACGGAGAGACGGAGAGACGGAGAGACGGAGAGACGGAGAGACGGAGAGACGGAGAGACGGAGAGACGGAGAGACGGAGAGACGGAGAGACGGAGAGACAGAGAATGTTGGGGTTGAGGACTTTGAGGATCGAGGCAGCTGACGGACAGATGCCGGCGCGGCGCTGCATCGGGGACTCTTGGTCTGAAACCTTTGTATAGCGTGCTCGTGCCTGAAATATGAAAAGAGACATTGTGGAATTGTGATTACATGGTTCTTTTGCTGATGAATGACTCTTCAACGTACTCTTAGTGTTTAGGGACCCGGTCCTGGTTCTGGCAGTACTTGTACGGCGAACACCTGCAGCGCCCAACAAGGTACACACAGTGGCTGCTTTTGGAGATCTCCATACGGCACATGTTTTCGCGCTACAAGAAGTGCCGCTCAAGTCGATTCGGGGTGGAAAGTTCGCAGCAGCATTTAAGATGGCATTCCAGGAGCTCTCACACTCCGCAGCCCAAAACTCATCCCAGAAACCTTCCTGAACCATCCTCTGTGGCCAAACAAGCCAAGCCTTACAATACCCTACATTCCCGACCAAAGGCCCCGGAACACCATCTAAAGAGAGCGGCCCGGTGACCCCGCACGCCGGTTACCTCTAAAAATGAATTATAGCCATATAAAGCGACAACCAAACACAGGGGTTACCGCAAAACTCTCTTTACATTCAACCTCAAAGCCCTGAGCCGTTAGTGTATAGTGAGTATAGTGACCTTTTTTGCGACTCACACCAGTGCATCTCCCGCGCACCTGTAAGCATCAGTGTGGTTGCCCAAGCAGTTTCCGGAGGCCTGCGACTTGCGACAGACGGCTGGGGAGTTCAGTGATCACTCAAACGGCAAGTCTCGCTCGCAGAACTGCAAGGCACCCCTTCAAGGCTCTCGTGGTTCCGTCATTGCTTAGCACATGGAAACGGGCGGTTTCACCCGCGAAGCCGCACAGTATTGAGCATTTAGTCCGAGCTAGCATTGAGCGACACGTAGCGATTGATCGTCTAGGGGTTGACAGATGGCACCAGTGCTGTTCACAAAGTGTGGCTTGCAGCCTCGGCCACCCCTCGCAGAATCACCATGGCCTCCAGCATGTGTAGGGCTTGGAAACTTTTTTGCATCGCAACCCCGTTTACGGATCTGCCATCTGGCAACAGCCCCTACACTACCAAATGACCGACGGTCCAACAGTGAATGACATCATGAGCCACGAGGCCGCACCCTAAATATCAACAGCAACTGAAACCCAAACCCAACTCAACAAGGGTCAGCTGTAGAACAACGTGGGGACGTAAGGCACTGGCGATGCCAGCAGAACGGCACGCACTGGTCCATGCTCCAGGCCTGAACCCAGTAGCCAGGTCTGCTGTTTGTTTTGTTAAAGCCCTGCTGTGCAGTAGGGGTGTTTTTGCGCATGAGTATCGCGGCCCAGAAAAAGAAAAACCGTGACCTCGAAAGCTACACGAGAACAGCCCTTGACTGGCACCATCCAATAAACTGCATTGACGCTCTGCCACATCCTGCCTTTGTGTGGTCCCCATGGTAGAAGCAGTGCGCCCGATATGACTCGCGCGTGTTGCAAGCCAAAATGCTTGACGACCGTAGGGCCGTAGGGTATGGATGGCGGCCATCAGTCGTGGAAAAGATCAGAGCTGGCTACAAGAATCTTGCCTTCACGAGAGCTTAAGCGACTTAAGCGCGGTCGCTCTTTTCTCGCGCGCCAGCATCCTAAATCAGCCATCCGTATCCAAAAACCTGCGACCCGCGAGTGTCCAGCTGCTTTTCGGGAAGCTGTTTTGAAACCTCTCGCCAGTCATCGATGACATCAGGCCACAATCTGTGCGCCTGTGCCAAACTGCAGCAAGGCTTCAGGTGAGAAGCCGAAGCGTGCATTCCCAAATGTTTCAGATGGCCTACATGGTCCCGTTGCATTTGCACGCTTCTTGGTAGGGCTGAATCGGGCTGCAAGGGGTTTCCCTGTTGGTAGATCGCGGCTCAGCCGTGCGAAGCTTGTGCGGCGTGCCATGGCACGCCTCGGAAGTGCAAATGCGCACTCGAGCCGAATTCTGCCACTTTGGGCCCAGTGATCAATTTTGGAGGAACATCGAGGCATCGCAGAAGATCAAAGAGCCCAAGAAAACCCAATAAACGAAGAAACTGCTTTTACAAGTAAACCCGGTACAGTAATCTCTGGGTTCGTGCTGCGATGCCCTCATGACACCCCCATGCCTTCATCGCCGGGAGCCGCTTCCCTGCGCCCAAGTTGCGGGGAGCTGACGCTGCACGGACTCAGCCCAGAGGCTATACACAAACAAAAAACATATATTATATATATGTATTATATGCTTCCATATTTTTGTGGGCCCTCACTAATATGTCGTCCACCAAGCGCACGCGACATTGCTACTGCAGTCAAGACCTGCTCCTTACCACTGAGCGGCAACAAACCCCGAAAGAACCCTCAGCCGAACACTCCCCACTCAACTCAATCGCATGTTTTCCGCGATCCTCGAGCTTCGCGGTGAGCTCTAATTAGCGCTGCAAGCTGCGGTTGAATTTTCCGCTTCGCTTGTTCATTGCTTCCGTGAAGCATGTCATGTGCCAGGTTAGAGGGTGAACGTCATCAACGTTCGCCCGCCAAAAGGGCGCGAACACTGGATCTCGGCAGCGTGCGGATTATAAAGTGCGCACAGGCCGAGGCTCAGTTCTCAAAATTTTCTCGCGTTGAGATTAAAACACGGAGGATTTCAGTGGCGGCATCATGTCCCTTGGCGGATATCTTGTCAATGGTGCAAACAACCCCAGGAAGTTCGTGGCCGTTTTGTTTGTTGTAGGCTTTATGCACAGGCGAGGAAGCTGAGAACAGGTTTTGTTTGCACAAATATGCCGCAATATGCATTCTTGCAGTCGAATGTTCAGAGAATGTCCGGCCCTGGCCTAGGATATCGGCAACGAGCCTTTCGTGGCCTCTGGGACTATGGATGGGAGTGTATGGCTTGCTATGGACGTTTTTTGTCGGCATTCCTGTCCGTAAGAAGGCCTACGAAAACCCACGAAAGGCTTGTTTGAACAATAGCTGTAGACGCCACAGCGGGCCCTCAAAGAACCTTTTGCCATGAAAGCCCAGGAACATCGGTGCTCAAAGAGTGTTACTTCTCACGAGCGTTTCCTTGAAAACTTTGTTTGTTGAAACCGTCCCCCAAAAAGTGTGCTTGGAGACTCTGGAAAGGCAAAGAACTACCTACAGATTTGTAACCAAGGGACATGAAATGAGGTGCTGTTCTGGGCTCTGTGCAGCCCGTGATTCCTGCAGGGTTCAACAGACAGCAACGTATTTCCCCAGACCAGAATTGCTCATGCCGTGTGTAGCACGACGGCACTAAGGCAAAGGCACCCCCAGCGCAGGATAGGCCAAGCCTGTTCACTGATGTTCATGGTGATGCCATTAAGCATATCTTGTCTGACCTGGCCGCCTGCGTCTGTGTTCGGGGTGCGCAAACTGCGATCCAAATCAAAAAATCTAAAATCGAAGTGTTTAAAGTAATTTCCGTCCGGTGTAGACTTCATATCCACTGGAGGACACCTTGTCAATGCAACGAACACAGCGCAAAACCTGAACTGCATCAGTGACATGAAGTGCTAAGCGGAGCGCATGAGGCGCAATGTTCTGGCCACCCAAATGGGCACACTTCCTTGAATGCATTCTCCGGAAATCTAGAGTTGAAGTTTCCAGAAATTGCAAGACGTCAGGCTCCAGCCTCCCGTCAGACATGGGCATGGGAGAGGTGGAGCCTTCAAAAGTAGCCCTGGAAAATGGATGGCAGATTAAACACATAAAAATGGTAAAATGGGCAAGTGACGAGCTGGACATCAGTCAGCAAGTGCTGAAGACCTGAAAAAGCATGCGAACCATAATCTTACCCTCTAGACTGACGGATGTTGCCAGTGCCTGCTCGTGGCAGCAAAACTGCAAAAGAGTCTCTGTCAGGGAGCATAAGGATTGTGCGATGGCACCTACCGTTTGGATCATGTTGACAGGGACTCCTCTCCTGAACTTTCATTACGCCACTCGGTGGCCATCTGCGCGCCTTTTCGAGACATGTCTGAGTCTTCGGGGCTCTGCATCCAAGAGCTGCTCGATGCGGAGACGCGCGGCTTCGTGGCGGCCAGCTGTCAGCTGCCCAAGTCCAGAAGATTCGCAGGCTTCGCCCAAGCTTTCGCCGCTAGCCTTCGCTGCAGAGAGCTGTTGGAGACCCCGAAGACCAGTCGCAGATCCTTCAGGGATCTCGACGACCTGGTCCGTGCTTGCGAAGTTGACTCGGGGACAGTAAAGGCTGGAGCTCTCCGATGACTGACCCAAGTCGATCTCCAGATCGACGACGCAGAGTGCACGTTTCGTGCTGTGTGTGGGCAGGTGATGCTTGCGAGGTGCAGCCGGAAACTTGCGTGGCATCCTGGGAACCTCGGGAATGATCATAGCCATCGCTGAGTCAAAGATCAGCGTAGCTTCGTCCTCTGCCTCAGCAGCTCTGGAGTGCACACACGGAAGGCACGCAGTTTAATGGCGGCACTTGCCAAAAAGAAACTCTAGCTATAAAAGGGACAATGTCCTTGAGCCGTGGCCGAGGGCATGTGCAGCATGCGCAGCTCTGACTTCATCTGAAATTCGTGGATTCCTTACAGCTCTCCCGATGCCGCTCGGGGAATGTGGGGGCACCGTTGCCACATGCGATTGCAACCACCCTCTTCAACTTCATGCGAGATGGTTAATTCCCTGTACGGTGCACTGAGGGTTTCGTGTTCTGCCTTTACAACTATACTCTGCATTTGTCAGCCAGCACCAATCTGCCCAACGCTTTAGGCGCCTCATTACAGGGCCCTCTAAGAGTAGGTCCCAAGTGGTAGTGCAACGACATCGAGGCTTCTGCGGTACCACCTCTAGCCGAACCTACAGCCTGTAGAATCACTGTAGAAGTGTGCGTGTAGAAGTGACGTATGACGTTGACATAAGCCAAAAGGCATGGCAAGTCATTCACTTGGCCGACCTGGGTGCCCCCCACCTGTTCTTCATCTGCGTCGGAAACCAGCTACTTGTAGCACAGAAACGGCGCTGCAGGCTCAACCTTGCTGGAGAGGATGGGGATAAAGGGGTTCCCCCGTGTTTGTGCGCAACTCTCCTAGTAAAGAGAGGTGTATACATACTGCACGGTTCAGACTCTTTTTGTCTCTTTCTTTTGCACGCCTGCAGTGTCAGGGTGTCACCTAGTTCTTCCGACTGCCTTTTTCGAATGTTTCCAGATTCTTGTTGTCTTAAAGGGCAAATAATATCACGGAGGTCTCCTTTTCCTAGGTCTTCGCATACGAATGATGTGTACGTGTGTGTGTGTGTGTGTGTGCGCGTGTGTGGATGGCCTGATCCAAGTACAAGTGCGCCTTCGACCGACCGGCACGAAAGATTTTCAACGTTCAACCGTTGTGTTAAACCGCACATGCAGAACGGCGCGTGGCGAACGGCAGCTCGACCACATCTGGTGTTGCATCTCAGGCCAAAAGAAGCATTACAAAAACAGGTAATTCACAGCATACAAAGGAGAGAAGCGAATCTACACAAACTCTACGACTCTACGAGCTTGCTGTGTACTCGATGGCCTAAACCTGAATGAAGATAGTTAAATATGACGGACGGATGAAGAAGCTCCTGGCACAGAGCTACGAGTAGAATATGGCTGCTGCATATATTACCTGCACCCTGGGTGACACCTCACAAAGATGTCATGATTTTCATGGTATGGAAAGAGAACTCCTAGGACGAAGGCTGAAGGCCCATCCCAGGTTTCATCTTGACTGGGGGGTTTTGGAAATCGGTTTTCTTCGGGGCTTAGCATCGTTGTTTTTGCGCTTTTGACTTTCAATTTCTGAAAGAAAATACAGAATATTCTATTCAGCCCAAAAAGGGTAGGATATATGGGGAGAGGGGTAGCATATATATATATATATATATGTGGCTGATACCTTTAGGGTTCTTTTTGCTTAGCCTGCATGTGTAGTATTTAAAAAACAAAGCAAAATGCTTCATTTATAT